AAACAAACATACAAGCACTAGTCCTCGCTTCGGTTGTTCGGGGAGAGGCTCAGCATCCTAAATAACTGATGTTTAGGTTTTGTTCTTGTGCAAGCAGCTTTGGTCATTGTGACAGGAGGCTGGCTGCACAATCTGCCTGAGGTGGGAGAGCCGAGACATCAGGTGGTCAGCCTGAAGCCTGAACATGGACCTTGCATGGTCTGTGACAAAAGGTGAATACCCTCTTACCACTACACACCTGCAACTAAATGTCAGAAGAATTGTGTTCATTTTTCACTGAACTTGTTCAACAAAACATGTTCCCAGGACAGAATCAATGTTCAAAATCACCAGGCTGCCCTCAGGACCCACAAACTTCAGAAGCTGCAGGCCCTGACTTCAGGCCATCATTTAAAAACTGCAGCTATTATGACAAATAAATATACACATAAATTTACTGCAGGCCATAAGGACCAATACAACTTTGAAACAACAGGCTCGACATGAGATCTACCTGTGACAGGCCTATGGGCAGGCGCTTATGTCTAACACTGGACAGAAACATGTGTAGATTAGTTGTTCGATCTTTTCAAAATAATAGCTCAGCTACACCAATTCATGGTGTTCAAGAAAGAATAGTATTCTTTTTTTCTGTGTTCAGCTTTAACAATAAGCCATGGCATAACTCCTTCATGTGTGTAGACGGGACCGACAATGTTTCATCAACTGAATATTCCAATCACATTGTAATTAAGAAAACCCTAAAACATGTCCATGTTATACATTGACAAATATGTCATGAGCTTGCTCCCTTCTAGCAAGGCATGTGATAAAACTGCTACCGATCAAATTATATGGCATTTTAGCATAAGAATATCAATTTATACATAAACTTGGCGATTAAAACCTCTGGGGCGACTCGCCCCTCTGGGTCAGGCCCTGAATGAATGTAGGGACTCTGTATGGGGTAGTTTATATTCAGCCCTGGGGACCACCCACCATCTCATAATCATAATGTGTATCACTGCACGGGGCCAACAAAGAGAACTGGATCGAGGTTGTGGTTTAGAATGAGCTGTCAAGCAAACAGGTCCAACTAATGGCAGTATAGTGTTCAATCGCCTACGTGCTAAACATCTCAGGCAGATGGGTTTCAACAGGTGCTTGTTTGAACTGTTGATAATGTATAATGACTGAATATTAGGAAAGAAACTCATATTCCGTGGTCTTGATTAATGAGACTTGCGACATTAATAAAACCAGGAATGAATCTTGTTTCTCCATTCATGTACACAAGACATTCATTAAAACAAACTTTTAGCTGATCATGGTAAACATATATTTATTAAAACTTTTTGTGTTAATAGGGTATATTTCATCAACAATTGTTCAACCACAATGACACCTCTATAGCCATGATAGCGTGGGACAAGCTCTTAGAGTTTACATTCAAATAGTATTCATTTCATTAAAGTCTGTAAATTTATTGTTTCAGAAATATACATCCATGATTGGTTTGGTTTGTTGTTGAACGTCGCACTCAGAAATATTCCAGCGATATGACGGCGGTCTGTAAATTATCAAGTCTGGACCAGACAATCCAGTGATTAATATTACGAGCATTGATCCACACAACTGGGATACGATGACATCAACCAAGTCAGCGAGCCTGACCACCCAATCTTGTTAGTTGTAGCTATGAAAATATGTTAGCAAATGAAATCTCCTCACACTAGTAATACAGACATAGTTTTGACAACAGATTGCTGTTTTGTGAGTTGCAGTAAGGAATACATGGCAGTGTAAGCTATGAAGCTATTAACAAGATATCATCTTGATTACACTGATCCTGGGGGAGCAAAAGACGCAAACCAGTGAAATGTACGCCACTTCTACCTTCAAGTACATATCACAGCTATGTCAGGTGGTTCATGGCGCTTAAAGAAAGGTATGTTGTTCTCCGCGGCACCATTCCTACAACCAGTTTTACCTATGAAACAGATTACGTACATTTCACTCTGTTGATGATTTCAAAACGGCCACATGTGCTGCTGTGTGTGTGGTTCAGTGATAAGGCTGGGATGGTGGGCGAGGGAGCTCTCCAATACACATCTATTCTGGGTACCAGCACTGAGAAATAAACCCTACACATGCCTTCCGCTTCCAGTGAAATTCAGTCTGCATAGAATTCACCATACACTCACTCGCGGGTTTGCCATTTGGAAACACTAGTGTTTAGCTTCCAGTGTAATAAGCAAGTTTGGGGGCAAGGCAAAGAAGTCGTGTACATCTCAGAGAGCCTCGCCCGCCCTTCCTCCCAATCACAGACGATGAAAGCAGCAACATTGTTTAACACATTTGTTGGTTTGTACCACAATGTGAAACTTGCAATCAACCTACTGTAAGATGAACATTCTTCACAGTGAAAGGCTGAGGTGAAAAACAGCTCCTGAAGTTGATTGAGGAATGTCAGCGGTCTTTAAATCAATTTTCAACAAAGGTGTGCAACTAGACATGTTTTAGAACTCATGTAAGATACTCAGTTCTCTAAACAACAAAGTGGACTCTGTATCATATTTAAATTTGCTAAAAAGAGAAATTGTTATTACGTTATGTCTCTTTTTTTTAGGAGATTACTTTAGATAAAGGTATAATTAACATAATTCACTTGAATATAAACTGGGTATATATTTAAAACAAACAAGCTCTTTCCCTGAATAAATAATGACAATATCACATAAGCATCTGTTATCAGATTGTGTCCATTGCTTTTCTGTCTCAAAATCCTTTAACTAGCAACAGTAATGTCTAAACAACTGTGAAAGGAACTGTGAGAATAGGAATATAAATTCATTTCCTTTTCTTTTCAGTTAATTCTAACATTCTAACAATATATCACAGATTAAAACAGTCATTTTATTGACACAATCATTGCTTGCCTGGTTGATATGGAAAATGTACACAATGTTTTAATTTGTATCGAGCATGAACATTTAAAGGTGGAATACGAGGAGTATTCATTTTGGTGAGAATTGAATTATTGCCCCACAGCAATCACAACTCTAAACTAACAAAATTAATTTCCTGAGTGAAATCACACACGGTTCAGATGGAGATTATATCAAACTATTGTCTCATTATTTATTCTTCATCTGTGGACAATGATCAGGACAACTGCCTGTCTTTAGACCAACCATATTTTACTACAAAACCCTGATAAACGTGTACACCCTCATTTCTCGTCTGGTGTGTGATTGAAGAATAACACAGCTATTATGCATCAACTCCCGGCCCACCAGCAAGCGAATTTACCCTATTGTACCCATTATGTGACAAGTGACAAAGGCGAGAATTTGTGATGTGGCTGGACTGTGCCGCTTACAATAGCATCTCATGAACGGGGTTAGCTCTGTACAATAGAGAACCCACGGAAGCCATATTTGTTGTGAACTAACCGACACTATTTTCCACAAGACATATGCCAAACTCGTAAAATATTGCAGACTTCAAACGGTAGAAAAAGTATTTCAGTTCACGTTTCCATATACTGTTTCGAATTCGAGGCATACATCCTGTAATATTTGTGCAGCTTTAAGATGAACGGGGAATGTAGGATACAAAGTGTCTTTGGGTGTCAAACAGTGACATTAGTGTTTCATAACATTATTAATCCATGGCATTTATCACTTATATTGATGGGCAATTGTGTCCAGAACGTTTTCAATGTTTCACTTCCACACCTTTTCCTGTTTGTCAAAAGTGCCTACGACCTCTTTCAACAACCACCTATATCACTGGAGATTAGTAACTATACTTGATCTTGTTTCCTCAAAATACTAACCGGTCGCTTACTGATTATGAAGAAACACATTCTACATGTACTATTTGTCCTACTTTATTCTAAGCATCAATTCAGCAACAATATCCGTCTGACGACCTTTCCTTAACCTACAATGAAAAATAGTGTTGTGGAAAATAGAACTTTCCGATTTTCCAAAGTTGTTTCAACTTTCGAGGATAAACTTTAATATTACACAACGCTCCATTCTTTCACATTCAAGTGCACTTGTTGGTCAGCCCACGTCCGCTAATCACAACATATAAACAACTCATCGCTCACAACTGCCGACTACCCACGTGGGGCCTCACGGAACGTAAACTGTCAGCTGTATTTCAAATCTCTTGCCCCCAACGAATCTCTCATTAGCTGTTGCATAAGTGGGTACACTTTGACACAAGGGATTCTCTCCCACTGATAAACCGTTCCAGTTAACGCACTGGCAACCATAGAGAAATTAATCTACCACAATTTAAGAATTTAAAAAAGAAAACATTTTGTTCCAGTAAAAAAATACTTATTCTAATTGCATGACAGTTGCATGCGTAATGCATCCAATTGAACCTCATAAGGTTGTTTACGCAAATTCTACACGTTTTGGGGACGGGATTTCGTTGTGGCGACAAAACTCCAGTGTAAATTCCAGTGACTTCCCAGTAGTTAGTGTGCTCTAACAGAGGGACCACACACACTCGCGATAGGCATCCTTTCTGGGTCACACCAAGCCAAAATGGCGGGCGCATCCATTTTCGAGTGTTTTACACTAAAATAGTATCCCGTGTTCATGAATTATCTCTCCACGGGTAAACCTGACTCGCTAACCGGGCCATGGTTATATATTTAGTGACCGGATGTATGAGTGTCCGCGTTAGGATGTGTTTGATTGTGCTACGGTTGGTGATTTTAGTGCACAACATTGAACACGTGTGTGGGTTGTCAATGTCATGTACATTTCATTCCAACTTCTTCAAAATACCGTCATACCACTGAACCTAACCGATATAACGCGTATGCAGGTATATACGTGATAATGTCAATAGCAAACTACCACATGACACTCGCTGACTGACCATACTAATCCACATGTCAATCAATCTGGATGGTATATAGACACACCTGTCAATATCATTACAGTGTATATTTCACCACTAAGCACAGCGAACATAGGCCATATAGGACTTACCTTCCACCCATAATTCCTCCACATTTGTTTCAAGCGTCGCAGTCTTTAATCCAATACAACACAATGACAGTACAAGTAATCCCACAAATAAAACTTTTCCACAATGTAATTGAATGAAACACCCTGTACTGTGTAAGTATCTTTGAAGATGACATCGCATCCATAATGCACAGGTGTTTCCATCAGCCCGACCCTGCGGAAAAAAATAACAACAAACTCAGTTCATTCAGTATATACAACTTGTGAAGACATTTGAGTGGAATCTGTCATGCGACATGACATTATTGCATCATCTGAAGTCACAGCATGCTTGAGTAACTTAATAACAGGGAAATCATGAATGAATCGTTCAACGACTGATTTAAAACATGCCGCCCTTACTACGGGCGAGTACTGTTTCCTAGAGGAACAATCAGCTATTGTGAGAGGGGCCTAACGAGACCGCCCACATCGCGATCGATAATCCACGGTGCAATAGATTAATACCGATTTCAGTGTTGTGTGAATTAGAGATATTTACGGGTAGGTACTGCTCCACGTGCGGGCTAGGAAGGAGGGGCTATGCGTTAAACTCGCCGATATTGCTGTTAATGAAGATCGTTTACATAGCAACCACGATTTAAGCACGTGGGGACTCGTGTCATATAAGTCAGTTTTGAACATATCAACAAATCAGTGGATCACACGATGACATGTCTACATGGGTGGTCGCTCGTGAGATCTACCAGGGTGTGAGATCGGTGCACATGGGCTCAAATCATGGATATGACCAGTTGAGTAAACAACACCCGAATCGCTGTCAAGAGGAGCAAGCATGGCCCGTATCCCCATCCTTCGGGATAACGGCATGGGTTCCTGGCGACAGTTGGAACTTACCTTTTTGATTTGTCTGTAGGCCAATTCTGCATTGACCCAGCTTGTCCTGGTCAAAAGGTCCGGGTCTGATTTTTGATTGGAATCCCTTTGATGGCTTGTTGTCATAGTCAGCCCCTGAAATGAAATGAGAAATCACGGTGAGAATACACCATTCTCCTGGCTCATCGCGACCGCCTCGACTCAGACCGGTATCTGGCGTTTCCATCCACCTGGGTCCACTGTGGTCATTTTTACTTACCTCCGAGGGCCTGTAAGCTGGATTAGACCAGCTGTCCATCGTTTAGTCCACATAAACCGTGTAGTTTGTGAGTAGAATCCACGACCAAACTGATGCATGTATACTCGGCTACTCTCACTCTGTAACAGTACAGAATTTGCATACAAGCTCCGCCCACAGTCGTGCCGTGACGTGATTGACGTGCACCAGATCGCGACGCTGATTGGTCAATTATCAGTAGGATTGCTCGTGTAACACCAGCCCAACATTAGTTGCCTGGCAACAGCTCCCCCAGGTAGCAGACCACCCAAGAAGGAAGGGAACCCACGTTCGAACAAACAATACGCATCTAAAAGCCCACTGCCAAAAGCGCGGCCTCGGCTTGACGTATATCGCACGGAGGGAAATGTTATCTGTTGTCGCTCAGAACCGCATTTTCCCAATGCTGGTGTACCACTTACGCGCGAATTTAATTTTTATCTCGCAAAATAAACAACTGAACGTAAACATTTTCTCGAAAAAAAACTTTAATTGCTCTGGGAAGGCGGGGGTTAGAGGAAACCAAACGTAAAACTAGCAATCAAGGTGGACAAAGATGTGCGATTATAAGTTCTATTCAATAACCATCTCAAACTTCGGAAGTCAATTCGGCCACCTTGAAAGCAGTCGCAAGACACAAAGACGACCAATCTTTCACGGGGTGTAAATGTCAGGGGATAGTTGAGGCGGCGCGAGGGGTGGGGAGGGGGAGATGTCTGTACAGACTGAGGCCAGATGGGCGCGAGCGCTGTCCGGGTTTCAACAGACGGGATCAGGTGCATGAATGGGGTTTGCCTAGTGGGGCTAAAGAAGAAAAAGCGGCCAGACCAGAACATTCTGGGTGGTATAGGGGCCATGCTGCAAGACGAGAGTCCAGCATCACGGCGCAGGATAGAGGTGTATGGTTACTTCTAGACTTGCTGTAGACGCTGCCGAGCGGTGTTGTTTACGCCATTTGGTGCGGTGAATACCGGTGTTTTGAAACCGACGCTGGGTTTACCAAGACGTTTGCGTATCATTAGGCGGCAATAAAAAGAGAAGGTCGAATGTACATTGTCAACTCGTTACATATGACTACCTTGCTGCACAGTTTTCTTCGCGTGATTGATGATGAATATAGCGTTAAGGATTGACGTAAGGTGCTTCAGCAGGCGCCTGTTGTTAAAGGCTAAATATTTTGATAACACGTTTCGGAAAAAAGCGCTATACGTCACTTCCATGGTTCATACACAACAATACAACTCAGTATCAGAAGTATGTGTGTGAAATTGTCAAAATGACTATAGTTAGCAAATAACTTCTTTTTTATTTCTACTGGGCAAACGCTGACCTCGCCAAGAGTTGTCTCCCTTACCGTGTAATGGACGTTCGACCGTTTCAGTCATACCTGGCCGTAGCAATGATACATCTATAGCTTATGGTTGCTTGGAGTTACCGACGAAAGGACACAATGAAACTTGAGCGTTAAACCCTTTCCCCAAAGTTGGCTTGGTAAGGTTTTTAACAGAAGAATTATGTGGAACATGGTATGATTATAAACCTTTGTTATATCACGACACACAATATGGAATAACGCCGGGATGGCATTTACATCTATTCAATCACGATGATATATCCCCCAAAGGAAATATAACCAATGATGCTCTTCCAATACCGCATGGGGGCACGGGTTGTCCAGTCGTCGAAGGCGCCGCAATGCGCTGTGCAGAGTTGCGCTCCTTGAGAACGCCAGAAACCTACCGCAGTGGGTTCGAATCCCGGTTCACCCAGATTATGTCTCTATGTCTTTATGTGTGTCAGCACCATACCCGTGCTCGTGGGTTTCACAAAAGTGGTAAACGTCTGAGACCTGCATCACTTCGAGCTATCCACTCACATTGAGCTGACACGCCGTGATATAACTGGAATACTGTCCACAGTGGTGTTAAACCCAACACACTCACTCATTCACTACAATACCGTATGTTTCAAAGTGCTTGTAACAGTATACTAGCAATATACATGTGTACCACATACGATAGTCAAACCAACTTTAATTTGAATATTCAAATATCCCGGTTGCTGCAGCCATCAATCCGGGTTTGGGAAGAAATACCACAGGAAGCAGTTCTTTTGTATTGTACACCGACTGACTGATGTATGGACTATAGTTTTTGAAGAGCGCTTCCAGCGAACTTTGATTTCCCACTCCGCATTCAACTTCTCGAGGTGTGTATATCCTGCAAACGGATTTGATGGGTAACAATATATCTATAGTTTCGTGTGTGACGACGCTAATACTAGACACCCTCACCCCCTATTGATATTATTAAAGTACTAAATCACATTGATATTATGGATATGTAGTGACCTCGACAATCCGGAAGCCTCGCCTGCTGGACAATCTTGTTTGGAACGTCTGCACGTTGACACCCATACTACTCCCCACCCATGATTCGTTTATCCGGAGCATTATTAATCCGGTTTATTTGACGAGGAAGGTTACCGTTCGGATTATCGAGGTTTCACTGTCGTTCTCTTTAGATTTATAAAATACTGGGTTTCCCTCAATGACTGGATTAGCTTTATTGGAGAAGTAGATCGAATTTCAGTAATATTGATGTGAAAACGATAATTATGTGGGTCTGTAAGCGTACATCCATATACAACTAGGATTTAGGCATATATAAGTAATTAAACCGCTCTGAGAGAGACAGGGAGAGGAGAGAGAGAGAGAGAGAGAGAGGGGGGGGGGGGGGGGGGGGGGGGGGAGCAAGAGATTGTCACTTAACAAATACCTTATTGAGAAACATGTCCAGTCATTGTAAGCTAATAACTCTACATGACTATCTACGAATGTATTTATTGTTGTTCGACTGACGCGACAATATTCCAGTGCTACGCATTGTCCTTGAACCCATTACACAGATAAACTACACTTGATATCTCCGTGTGCTCCGCTGGATTTCCAGGGCTTAATGCCCATTCAGATGGTCTTAAATGAGATCATTATATGAACATCCACAACAGTTCTGCGCCATGGGGATTCCAGTTCAGAACAGGCTCCTAAAAGTCAATGTTCGAGGTGACAGCCGATTATAGCGGGTATCGGATGGTCAACATGGGTGTTCAGGGTGGTCAGTACACGTGGCTTGATGACCACTAGCGGGCATCGGATGGTCAACAGTGGGGTGGTCAGTATACGTGGGTTGACGACCACTAGCGGGTATCGGATGGTCAACATGGTGTTCAGCATACGTGGCGTGATGACCACTAGATGGTATCGGGTGGTCAGCATGGGGGTGTGTAGGGTGGTCTGTATACGTGGGTTGACGACCACTAGCGGGTATCGGATGGTCAACAGTGGGGTGTTCAGGATGGTCAGTATAGGTGGGTTGACGACCACTAGCGGGTATCGGATGGTCAACATGGTGTTCAGCATACGTGGCGTGATGATCACTAGATTGTATCGCGTGGTCAGCATGGGGGTGTGTAGGGTGGTCTGTATACGTTGGTTGCCGACCACATGCGGGTATCGGGTGGTCAACATGGTGGTCAGCATACGTGGGTTGACCACCACAAGCGGATGTCGGGTTGTCAATATGGTGGTGTTCAGGGCGGTCAGTATACGTGGCTTGATGACCACTACTGGGTATGGTGCTCATCATACGTGGATGGACGACCACTAGAGGGTATCGGGTGGTCAGCATGCGTGGGTTGACGACCACTAGCGGGTATCGGATGGTCAACATGGTGGTCAGCATACGTGGGTTGACGACCACAAGCGGGTATCAGGTTGTCAATATTGGGGTGTTTAGGGCGGTCAGTATACGAAGCTTAATGACCACTTGTGCGTATGGTCAACATGGTGGTCAGCATGTGTGGGTTGACGACCACCAGCGGGTATCGGGTGGTCAATATTGGGGTGTTTAGGGCGGTCAGTATACGAAGCTTAATGACCACTAGTGGTATGGTCAACATGGTGGTCAGCATGTGTGGGTTGACGACCACCAGCGGGTGTCGGGTGGTCAACATGATTGTCAGCATGCGTGGGTTGACGACCACCAGCGAGTATCGGGTGGTTAACATGGTGTTCAGCGTGCGTGGGTTGACGACCACTAGAGGGTATCGGCTGGTCAACATGATGGTCAGCATGTGTGGGTTGACGACCACCAGCGGGTATCGGGTGGTCAACATGGTGGTCAGCACGTGTGGGTTGACGACCACCAGCATGGATGGGCTGACGATCACTAAAGTATATCGGGTAGTCAGTATACGTGGGTTGACGACCACTAGAGGGTATCGGGTGGTCAGCATGATGGTCAGTATACGTGGGTTGACGACCACTAGAGGGTATCGGGTGGTCAGTATACTTGGGTTGACGACCACTAGAGGGTATCGGGTGGTCAGCATGATGGTCAGTATACTTGGGTTGACGACCACTAGAGGGTATCGGGTGGTCAACATGGTGTTCAGTATACGTGGGCTGATGACCACTAGGAGGGATGATTCTAACATCTAGCTATTGGTCAATCGCAGTTTGGATTATTCACAGGACATGGTACCTTTCAGGAAGTAACCACCCAGAGGATGTACCCCGAGTGATATTCTGACAATAATTCAGGCTTCTTAAATAATACTGAACTACATGAAGCATGTTATAATAAAACATTATTAAACTCCAAATTTCTGTAACAGACATTGAGATAAAATTAGTCCCTAGTGATACATGTGCAAAATAACCAATCTTAAGCTATCTAAAAATCAGTGTAGACAACCAATCAACTCTTTTTGCTGTTGGTATCCCAGATATTGCCCATTTCATCCTTTGTCTGTCAGCACAACGTCCGTGCTGTGAAAGTTTCACCAAGAAGGAAGCATCTGAACGGCCCGCGTCAATGTTCGCCTGCACAAAAATACTAAACTCACAACTAAACTTCCTGTCAGAGTCATGGTATGGAGTTTCGACCTTGACGTTGGTCACATACACATGGCAGTATTTATTGTTATCGACCGATGTCTATCTAACATGATATTGACCATTTCTTTTACCTTTCCATATGTTTCTGACCTCAATGACCACTTTGTATCAACATATCCGCAACATATATAGATTCGGCCTATGTAGGCTT